ATCACAATCTTTAACTAGCAATTAATTCGATAATTGATGCCATAACTTAGGTTATGTTCTAGTTATGTGTTCCTCGTCATTCTCTAACTATGGCCCATTCACGGTAGCTTAGTCATCCAGAGCTCCGTCAGCTTCGCCTGCCTAAGCTCCGTACTATCGTCATTGTCTAATCCCTACGCTGTACGCTCTTCATCTTTCTTCCCAGACTACGCCTGACATCTATATCAACCTATCCTCCGTACTCTCCAAACGATATTCATTGACAATGGACCATTTCCCGGGAACCTGGGGCCGCGTGAGAACTACCAACCACCGCCCGATCGCTTCATCGCTAACAGCACATTACAGCCCAGAAACGATGTCTACGGAGCTTACGATCCTTCATACCTTCAAACAACCGGCCCAAAGACACATACTTCATCGCCAGCGGTGACTGGAACGTCAGTCATTGGTGTGAAATTTAACGGCGGTGTCGTCCTGGCTACAGACAACTTAGGTACTCATACGCATTCCCCCCAACCCCAACACCAATACCAAATCCCAAGTTTGAGAAAAAGAAACCATCTAACCCATCTCGTCACTATATAGCATCCTACGGATCCCTGGCTCGCTTTACCGATGTAAAGCGTCTACGTGTATTCGGCGAGAAGGCCGTAGTCGGCTTCGGTGGAGATGTATCCGACATGCAATACATCGACCGTCTCCTTGAATCCATCGATATCAGAGAAAACTACTCATCCCACGGAAACATGCTTAATGCCAAAAACCTGCACACCTACCTCGCCAAGGTGTTCTATAAGCGCCGCTCCGAGTTCAACCCTCTGTGGAACCATGTTCTCGTCGCAGGCTTTGACGCGGAGGGCAAGCCCTTCCTCAGCTCAGCAGACCTTCTGGGTACAACTTTCTCCGCTCCTCACCTTGCCACTGGATTTGGTGCCCATCTTGCTGTTCCTATTCTGCGACGACTGTTCCCCGAAGAGACTCCCATTGAAAACATCAGTCGAGAGCAGGCTGTCTCAGCTTTGAAAGATTGCTTGAAGGTTCTGTTCTACCGTGATGCACGCAGTATCGACAAATACTCCATAGCAGTGGTTACTCAGGAGGGCATTGAGCTGAAGGAGGATGAGCAGATCGAAGGACAGAGCTGGGCGTTCGCAGAGAGAATTAAGGGTTATGGTGCCCAGACAAACTAATGTCGGATATGATTTTGGTTTCCTATTCAACTCATAGTCACCTACTAAATGAGAAACTCAATGGACTTTGAACGATATTTTCACACTATAGCTTTGTGTCCTTCAAATGCTGGTATATAAAATCTGATGAGTAAATGCAGGAACGAGCAGTTGAGATATACTCTACAGCCAGGTTTGCCTCACGTCTTGAAATCTCGCATACTCACCCTAGCAGCTGGAATATATGTGGGAATCAAGTACTATGCATATCCCCCAGGCCTCGTCACGTAAGCAAAGCGTAGCAGTGATCCTCGGCCTTCGAATCAGACGAGACCGTAAGTATAATGAACTAAATGCAGTTTACGTGAAACCCCAAAGTAACCAGCCTCCTCTACGCTAAAGCCAAGCCTTACTTTCCTCGGGTATATCATATTTCAAACCTACCAGTGGCCTGAAAATGTTGGAGCGGTGAATACGCAGCAGCATGGGGTAGATGCATCAGGCACACTCACCACGCAGGGATCATCGCCAGATAGCCGCGACAGACTCGGATAAACACTTTTTCGTATCAAAAAACGCCGCTAAGATGTCATATACCTTCGTCTTGCGCTGCCGTTCCTTATTAATGTGATATATAACATCCACGGCTTGCCGTGGGCCTCCTGCACTATACTCCTTACTTCCACCGAAAGCTATAGAATACGCGGTGAAAGAGTACGAGCTGGCAACTTTAAGCTGCATGTAGCGGTGCATAGTCAAAGCAAAATGAGAGTTTCGTTTCATTAAGATCGTCAACTAATATAAAATAAATAAAACAAATAAAAAGCCACTGTCCATTGGGGACCAAGAACGCCCGTGTATAACGCCTGGAATGTCAAATCAAACGAGGGTATACCCATTCCAATTCAACAAACTCCATCCAAAATCACCAAGCGCGCGGAAAGCAAATCCAAGGCTCAACGCCAACTTTTCCAAGTCTGAGATTAATAAGCCAAGTAGAAGGAGATTGAAAGAGACGTTCAGAATAAAGAGCGACCAATTCGGTAACAAAAGAAATAACCTGTCGTATCCGTAATTTAACGAAGAGAAACTGTAGAAGTTGTCATGTGAACAGTAGGCTGGGGACGCAATTTATTGAGCTTGCGACGGCGATAATCTTGACTGCGGGTGCGAGGGCGACCTCGGTGTTCAGTCCCATGGAATCCTGCATCTTCTTCTTCTTCACCAGCAAGAATGTGACCAGGAGACAAAATGGTAGGCAAAGGTGGCACTTCGATACCAGGCCTCTGTCTCCAGACTCGGCCAGAAGATGCTCGACTGCGAGATCGGGATTGAAACATCTCAGCCTCTTCCAAGTTTTTGCGATTCAGATGATGCTCTGAAGCAGATCGATGCACGCGCGGTTTGATACTCTTATCTGTGCTTTTTCTATGACTGGTTGCCCGTTCCAAACTGGTCGATGGGCTCGAGTTGTATGAAGAATCGAGCGGTGTCATGGAGAAGCGATCTGCATAAAGAGGACCTCTGCTGGAGATGGTTTGCTCTTCTTGGAAGATAAGTGGGTAGGTGGATTTGACGTATTCCGATGCAAGACCAGTCTGAACTGGATACTCTGTATATCTGGGAGCACACAGCGTAGACCGGCGTGCCCCGACTGCAGACCGCGCCGGAGGATGTGGCCCATTCCCATCATACCAGCGCGCAGAATTAGGTTGAGGTCGAGAGTAGTTCCCTGGTTTCTCCTGCAGATTTAGGTGGCGCTGAATCTTGTCCGCTGCGATATTAGAGACTGATGATTGAGAGTCGACGGATGTTCGGCTTCGCTGAATCGAATGAAGCGATGTTGCCGAGCTATAACCACTATCCGACTTGTTGAGTGATCCGGACGTACTGCGGTCCAATACAGTCTCCATCGTAATATTCTTCTCCAGCTGGCTGTCATCACACATAGCTATTCCTTCGTCTTCTATCTCTTTGATATGGAGAGTCTTGCTTCGTGACGGTACAGAAATGATGGGAGACTTCTCAAATGAGAATGGACTTGCTGGGAAATCATCTGATTTCTTCAAATCTGATGTCACAGGTATCTCTACCGTTGGTTTTGGGCACATCGTCTCAACACTCTGTAGGCCGAGCCCTGCGACGATGATAGATCGATCGAGAGGAGTTCTCTCACTTGGGCACGGGGACGCAGAACCATTTACAACCCGTAGAGAACCAAGCTTCAAAGCACCCAACTGGGTATATTGTGCATCTGCGGGGCTTGTGGGTCGCTCTGAGACTCTAGATTGGCGTGCAGATCTCCGACGAGGAGGGAGGGACCAAGCCAGAAGAGCTGATTCCGAATCATCCATCTCAGGCTCCCCAATGGGCGATGGTACACGTCGAATAGCCCCGGTAGTTCGTCGGGTTGCTACCCCCGGGCGCGTCAGTAACGATCGCCGACGAGTCAATGAGAAGCGCTGATTGTCCACCAAGAAATGCGTGTTGGAGGAAGCTACATCTTCCACTGGACTCTCATAGATGACACTTCCATGTCTCTGGAGGTTGAGTTGAACTGAGTTGGCTCGTCTCGGATGTGGAGATGCACTTGATGATTGTGTAGAGATCGGTGATATCACTGGTTGGCTTGCTCTCTTCGCCGCACGGCTGGTTACAGAAGAGCCAGATGATGCTGATAGATGGTCCATGGTAGAAACGGATGCATTTGCCTGTTTCAGGCTGTGTTTTTTTGGTGTGGTCGATTTAGATTCAAACGATGTTGTAGAAATCTCTCTTGTCTCTGCACTTGCGAAGTTCTTCACCTCTGGAAGGTTCGATACCCAAGTGTTTTCCCATCTCACCAACCCGGATGCAGTTTCATATTCTTCTCGAGACAGTTGAGGAGAGCTTAGCGCGAGTTTCTTTGTCAAAGGCTTGGAAAGGCGGTTGGAGCGTCGGGTTTCCTCCTTCGATTGGGTAGATTGGTGATTACCCATGACTTTCTTGTATTAAATTTTTTTCTTCTTCGTGATGTATAAGGATGGTTGATATGTATGTTCTCTGTTTGGTTGGGCTTTCTTCCCCAGGTTCAGACACTAGGGGAAGCAGCACCACATATGGGTGATAACCAACGTAATATACAAACTGACTCTCGTAATAAAATAAACAACACGGCCGCGATTAAGGGACCTCAGGTATAGATCGGGAGGGACCCCCAAGTGACGTCAAGGCCACGCTCTGATTGCTGGGGGATCGATCCGAGCCCCAAGCTCGTACGCCCGTTGAGTTGGGAATTCAACGTGCGATTGGCGGCTGAAGGGTTTCCGCGCGGAGATGATGGGAGCTAGGCGAAGTTTCAGATTGGAGGAGCTGCCAGGAATCGGTAGGCCCGGGAGGGACAGAGAGAGCGAGAAGGTTACGTCAAGCTGGGCAAAGAACAAGCGGGATATTTCTGGATTTGCTTGTTGCAGGGTTTTGTTTGTAGTTTGTGATTTGTATTTTTTTTCATCTGTTGTTGCCCTTTTTTTCTTGTTTTGCTCTGTCTCTGCGTTTGCTTCTGCGTCTCCAATTCTTTTCTTTTCTTCTTTCGTGTGGCTGTGGTTACTACTACCAGAGTAGACCCGAAGGAAGCAGTACCCCAATATATCAAACAATGGGGCCAAAAAAACAATATATGTTGAGATTAGAAATGGACCAAAAAGAAGAAAAAATAGGCCCCAAGAAATCTATAGTTTAAAAAAAATCATTACGGGGAAAAGACAAGCGGAGACGGTGTTCTAATAGTGTAGAAGCAGCAAAACACGCCATAAGGAGCAGCACGAATGCGTTAAGAGGCACTAGCACTAAGGACTGCAAGCGGAACAAGGAACCAGTCACAAGTAGTAGGGCCAGCATGTTGGCGAGTCGAACTTCCATGTTTTCGCTGCAAAAGTACATTAGCACCAGGTACATCATGTACCTGGGTTGTATGGAGTCTTCTATACGCCAATCATTCCAAGGTTCTAGCCGCAAGCGGGGGTGGGGATGGTCAATGTACTAAATACCTCTATTTATATAGGATTACACATACATTAAGTAAGTACCCAGTACTTATTCCCACCATGAAACAACCCGCCTTCATCCACTTCCTGCATTGTTGATGCTTCAAACCTGATGCGACTATACATTCATTATCCCGTCTTTTTCTTTTCTTTTCTTTTTTCGCCCCCTTCCTTCCCTTCTAATTCAAAACGGACGTTCAATAATAGAAAAAAGAAGAAGGGGAAAAAAAGCCACCAGATCATCACAATTAAGACTTTTTATAGTTTGGACGAGGATCTAAGGATCTAAGGATCTCTATTCCCTCCTTATGATGACAATGGCATAGTAGCGAGATTTGACGAATCCACTTTGATTCCCTCGACACTGTATCCGTATCCGTCTCCTTTTTCCCCCTCTTCTCTCTTCGTTCTCCAAGGTTCAACCCGTTCCCCACCAGGCACAGACATCATACCATCCCCGCCAGAACAAGTCTTCGAAGCTGCATTCGGACAGGAAACACGGTTGACACGAAGCCAAAAAGTGGGGGTTGAAAAAAAATGGCACTGTCCACCTTGTCCACCTTCCCATTCCTAGCGCCGGCCGAGTTCAAGAGCGCGTGTCAAGATCTGGCCGATCGCTGCACCTCAGCCCAAAGCACTGGGGGCTGGTCTATTCGACCCGTCACACAGGTAGGATTTCCTCCCTCACCTGGTTCATGCAGATCTTATACATCCCATCCCGGGAGTCTTCTGGAATTTCTGACGTAGAGAGACAATCGAGAGTAATATTATTATTTCTACTAGACATGTCCCAGCCTGCGCATAACTCAATACATGGATGTACATGTACACACCGATCTCATCCAGGATCCCGATCGACATGAGGCTTACATGACACAGATGGTGGAGGACGAGGATCCGGTCGGCAATGCCTCCCCTGCCCCTGCTTATGCTGATGCTTCTACTTCTACGAAGTACTGCGGTTTATTGCTTTCAGTTCTAATATATAATGAATACAGGAGACACTGGTGCGAACCAATCTCAAACCAAAATTACAGGTAGATTATGATATTGTGCTATCTTCATCATACCAGGTCCCCGTCTTATACTTTGCTCTGCGTTGGCTTCATCAAAATGGCCCCGTGGGGCTAGATGCCGTCTATCAATATGTTGTTCCCGAACAATATCAAACGCAGATGAAAACTGTGGGTGTTATGGGTGGTATCAGCATGGGCGTAAGATTTGCTCCTCCTCTTCCCCTTCTTCCCCTGCCTCGCTTCTTGAATTTTTCTTTTTTCTTTTTTTATTTGCGCCCTCTCTTTGGTTCTCTGTTGCAATTCCAGCCCAGGAACTCATTTCGTCGTAGTATCATCCAGATTCGGGCACGCCAGCCTTTTTTGTTCACCCGTGCAACACAGCCGATGCTATGGCTCAGGTGGCAGACGCTCAGAGCACCACTCCGGGGATGTATCTTCTCATTTGGCTCGGTCTCGTGGGTCATTGTGTGAACCTGCACATCCCACGTGAACTATTCGCTTCGGATGGTACCAGACCCTCCTGCTCGGAATCATGAAGAAAAAAAATATAAGGAAAAAAAAGGAAGAGAAAATAAACAACAGGCTCGGGAATAATAAAAAGAAAGACCAATAGCAAGATGAGATCGAAGCAAATCCCTTAGGAGCTTCGGGCACTCCACTGTGTTCGAACGCTGCAGGCTCCAAGTCGGATTTCCATTCGCGACTTTCAGGTCAACTTTACTCTTCATCCGAGGACGCTTCCATAGATACATCGCTGTCCTCATCCATTGGGGCATCCTCTGCATCACTCTCATCCTCACGGGCCCGCTTGGTTCCTTGCGATTCGCCATTAGCTTCGGTCGCTCGTACGGGGACTGTGCCCGGTGGGCCACTGAAAATGGATTTCTGAAGGTCTGTAGAAACTCCGCTCGGTCCGGCCCCGGCGCTGGGCGCATTATATGTACCACAGAGTCGCCCAATGACATCGGATGTACCTTTGCCGTACACAATTTTCTATAAGGCATTAGTCGTTAGTAGAGTGGTCAGAGTTGGTTCCATAGGGTTCAGATGCCAGGTGCCAGATGCCAGGTGCCACGTACCATCTCTTTGCCGAAGAATTCAAATCCTTGCAGAGCGCGCATAGCCTGGGTGCTAGCCTGCACATCCTTAAACACAATATGTGCTTGCCCACGCATTTTGCTTGTCTTCATAGCCACAACGTCGAGAACGGTGCCGTAGGTGGAGAAAAGGGTGTAGAGTGACAGTCGTAGGTCATATTTGCGGAGCTTGTCTGGGAGATTGGTGCAATAGAGTCTTATAGAGGGATTAGGAATTAGCTTCGGTAAGCAATTGGAATAGCCATTGAACAGGTGCGAGCTCACGTTTGATTCGGAGGTCCAACGGCCTTGGTGTCAAGGCTTTGAGGAGCCGCCTTGGAGGCCATTTTGTGGGACTAAAAAGAAGATATCTGGGAAGATGACCCTGCGCGCATGAAACCGAAAATTCAATTACCGATTTGAGGAGGAATGAAGCTCGCAAGGATGATTATCATGCCTGTGATTAGAAGTGGATCTCCAAATTGCGAGAAAAGAGTATGGTCATGTGACTAGTTACATAATCTTAGATTTTGCGGGGCCAGGTCCACAGCAGCCAATAATATCCCGTTCTGGCTGGCCAGCAGACGATGGGCATCTACTACAAGTGTACATAGTCAACCAAGTCAGAAATCCTACCTCTGTATATATAGACAAAATTATGCCAGAATGTATTTATAAAGAAATATTCCATCTCTGCAGCCCCATATCTTCTTAATCACCTAGTCTGCTGCACGTTTCTCTACATGTCTTTCTACACGTTCTTGTATACATTCATCTATACACCTTTCTACCTATTATCGACTTCTCAATTGAATCTACCCCGTATTATACCAATAAAAATCTCAATGAAATATTATGAATAGTATTAGTACTAAACTAAGCTCGTATTCCAATATGAATCGGAAGAAAAGCTGGCTGCCCTAAGTAAGAGTTGGGACCGAGTTGACTACAGTACAGTAGACTTTGAGTCTTGAATGTCCTTATTTTGCTCATTCAAGACATGCAATGCAATCTTTAAGATCAACGAGAACCCAGAGATTAACTAAACGTTGAATACCGAGTGACAATTATCATCCGTAACATCTTACATGACCTTTTTACTCCGTCCCGCAATAAATCTGAATGCGACCATCAGAATAACGCCGGATATAGTTAGTTAGATAGTCCGATTACTAAGCATTCAGCTTCCCCGGATTTCCCTTGGGTCGGTTCACGACTCCATCTCCATGGCTCCCTGAGTGCTTCAACTCTCGCAAAAATGATCTCCAGGATCGGCCTCGCCTTCATCTACTCTCTATGGTCTACAGTATGTGTCGCATCATCTCAAAATGACACAAAGCCAGTTTCAAGCGAGTTATTCAACTCCCTCGAAGAACTCTCTAGACTTGTAGACATCGCCTACTGTGTGAGTACAACCGGTGTCCAAGAGCCATTCCAGTGTCTAAGCCACTGCGCCGAATTTCCAGAAATGGAATTAATCGATGTAAGTTCTTCCCGAATGAAAAGCGCCCATCGAAATTCAGAAACCTGACGTCAGAATGCTTGATTCAAGACATGGAATACTGGCATTTTCCTGTCCGACTCATGCGGATACATTGCTGTTTCACACACACCCGGTGCAGAGCGCATTATAGTTGCCTTCCGTGGAACGTATTCAATAACCAACACTATTATCGATCTCTCTGCATACCCACAGGCCTACGTACCATACACAGGCGAAGACGGCTCCAAGCCATGTGAGAACTGCACAGTCCACGCCGGATTTATGACATCATGGGTGAACACCCGCGCCGCAATCCTGCCCTACTTACTCTCACTCCGCGAACAATATCCAGACTATGAAGTCTCCCTAGTAGGGCATTCGCTTGGAGGGGCTGTAGCAGCGCTGGCGGGATTAGAGATGAGGCTGGCGGGGTGGGATCCCCTCGTCACGACATTCGGGGAGCCGATGATTGGAAGCGAGGAGTTCATGAAATTCCTAGATGAGGCGTTCCTTTTGGAAAGTTCGAGCTCGTCCAATCTAGATATGGATCTCCAAACACTCCGATTCCGTCGCGTGACTCATGTAAATGATCCGGTGCCTCTTCTCCCACTGCGCGAATGGGGGTATGCACCTCATGCTGGTGAAATATTTATCGCCAAGTCAGATCTTTCACCTTCCCGTGAAGATGTTCGAGTATGTATTGGTGATGAAGATCCGCGATGTATTGCCGGTGCAGAGACTACTACGTCTCTACTAGATATGTACCGGGATGTCAACATCCCAGCCAACATATTTAGTCCCTGGAAGGACCCCTGTCCGTCATATACGGACCAAATGAGACCGGAGTCTGGACCGCAAGTTGTTATCGGAGAACAAAGACGGAGAGGCCGGGGTGGACCTGCGAACTGTGCTTCGAAGGATGCTCAAACGCCCCTTTACCCACTTAATTGGGACTGGTCTCTCATCCCGGCCCGGTATCGTCTTTGGGAACTTTTCCATTCCCACCGGGATTACTTCTGGCGTATTGGGTTATGTGTCCCGGGTGGAGATCCGTCTGGATGGTTATGAGTGAGTGACGCATGTAATACTCGATGATTCATTCCAGGGGCATGGCGTTCTTGGGTGTTTCAATATAATTTGTCATGAAATTTACATTCTGCACATAAGTACTCGGAACTTATTTCGGAACTCATTTCGGAAGTATATCCGATATTTGTTTTATTGCTGTACATATCTTCAATCCAAGTCTTCGCCCATTATATTATCACGATTCGTATCACTATTTTAATATCGGCAATATCGGGCAATACTATAGTGGGCTGACGAAAAAGGACGAAAAATAAGAATATTAAATGTGATAAGAGTGATCTATAGTTCTTTGGCGTAATTATCTCACCCCAAAAATAAAAAGATCAAATGAAGATGTTTGATTCGTGCCTGGAACCCGGGCGCGTAGTTGAGCGAGACGCCGCTGCAGGTGACGAGATGAGGTGAGATGAGCCACTAACTTGAACCCCACACCCACAGGCTTTGTTGGAGAACTCAGGCTGGTTCCCTATTGTTACCCCCCTATTAGATACCATTGGTCTGGAAAATGTGGCTCAAATGCTTGGAAGCAAATTAGTTACTAAAAAGATGGATAGAAGCAAAGATCAGTGGTTGGTATGGTTTCCAAAAATATTTGAATATATATAGTGACATTAGACATACATCGATCATCAATCATTGCGTGAACAAACAAAATCAAAATACAGGACAAGGGCAGGCAAAATCAAAGACAGAAAGAAAATACAGATCACAAATACACAGTACACCGGAGTGACTAGTCCAACCCATTGCGCCCATTCCCAAATACTGATACCAAAATATCGCAGCCCTAATATCCAAAATTAACCATTTGCAGACCTTCCTGCACCATCAGATCAGCCCAATCAACGTCAAGAGTGTGCCCAACGCGCATCAGACGCTCCAATTGTCGCTCATAGACAGTTTGTAAGATAGCCCTAGTGGTGGCTGCATTGCGGCCCATACCATCCTCTTCGTCTTCCATGCTTGTCATCAATTCCATAGCCATCATTTTCAAGCCGCTAGCAGATGCAGTGGCACCAGCGAGGAAAAGAGGGAAAACAAGGAAATGCCGATCAGCACGATGAGTGTTTGCGGTTTGTTCTGCAATGCGCAGAATCTCTGAGGCGTGGTGGTCAATCTCACCGTCGGGGCTGAACTCCGACTCGAGACGCTGACCAGACCACATGCTGCTGTAGGAAAATAGATGACAGACGTGGAAAAGAGTAGCAGACTGTATAGTAAAGAAAAATAAGTTAGCTTTGAATTTTCATAGACATAGAGAGGTCTATGGTTAGAAGGGGAACAAACCTGCTGTAGAATTTCCTCAGACCGGCGAGGAAGCGAGTTCTGCTGCTGATGCCACCAAGCCACATCCGGAGCTTCCCACAGCCGCCCAAAGGCCTGACGCAAGTCATTGATCTCCCTTGACCGGTGGTCGAACTCTGAAAGAGGTAAAGTCGGTTTATCCCTGCGGAGCTGTGATGCAAGGAATCCCAACTGAGCAGCTAGCCTGAAAGTATCAGCGTAAAGACGCATAATGACAGGTAAGCTCTCATGCTCTTCGGGGTATATGACGCTAAACCCCTCGGCCACACAGGGGTAGAGGAGGCATTCAGGACCCGGAAGCATCTGGTGATCCAGCATAGCCTTAACGAACTCGCCATCGCCCGCACCGCTCAAAAGAGCGTACAGGTCAATGTGGCAAATCCACCATATAATGAAAGGATGCGGTTCACCACCAAAATGTGAGCGACGAAGAAAGGAGATGTGGAGTAAACGGGAGATGTGGTGAGACCAAAGGTTTGAGCCATGAGGTTCAGCTGCAGCGACCTGTTGGAAAAGGAATCAATATATGAACCAAGACACTAGATATATAAAAAAAAACTGACCTCATAAATTAATAGGAGGAAATGAGTGAGGAAGAGACCATCAGAGACGAGGTCGTCGTTATTTCGAAGGCTGTTTTGCAAAGAAGGAAATGCTTGTTGGTAGTATTGAAGTGCATCAACATTTTGTCCAGTGCCGCTGTGTGAAAGACTAAGCGCCGAGATGGCCATGATAGCATGGGCAAGCTAGAAAGAAGTTAATACCGTAGATCCCGGCAATCTCAATCGAAAGAGAGAGAAAAACTCACTGGAGGAAAATGGGCAGCTTCACGCTCAATGAAATCCACACTTAGAGTCATACCGCTGCTCTCATATCCGAAAGAGTCATCCTGTTCCCGATTATGGGGAAATAATTGTTTCCACACGACATGACGGAAATGGGAGAAGAGGGTGTGGTCCTGAGTGTTCTCCTCAAGACATGGGTCAAGGTACGATAGAGATACTTTTTCGTCCTCGAAAGGGAGTGGAGAGGCCTGAGAGGCCTGAGAGTCAAAGATGGGAGATAAGGAGAGTGCGCAGAAAGGATCTGAGATCTCTGAAGTTGGCGAGATTCGGGAAATTCTTCCTGCTGAAAGAGATCGTCGTGTTGAATCCTCAAATGTCTTCAAGATCACCACATTGGGATCAGGGTTGGAACTGGGATTGTAGACAGAATGTTGTCCACTGATGGGACTACTTGTCGCTGAGATTGAGACCTCGGTGCTTGTCACGAATGCCTTCTCTCCCAAATCATCTGCATACTCTGGAAGTGTAGAGAAACTGTCTGGAATCACTACTACGTGATATGTGCCCGGACTAGACGCCTCGGCTTTCCTCTCTCGCTCCTCATCCGATGTGAGTAAAGCGAAAGGCGGGAGAGAATCCCTTGGAGAAAAGTAATCAGATCTATTATCTTCGCTTGGGGTAGGTGATGAAACTAAAGAAAAGAAGGAAAGAAATAAAAATCAATATTTGAAAGAAAATTGGGGGGTCAAAGTGTTGAGACCCTCGGGAATAGAGTAACTTACGATCCCAGATATGGTTTCCTTCGGTCTTCACATCGGCCATTCGGCCCATAATACGAGGAGTATCATCACGAAAGGCTAGACGTGGACGATAGTCACAAGTATGGCCCAGTCGCGTACATTGCTAAGAGGATGCGTTAATAAAAGTGTGCGGCGCGTAGAGCCGAGGAATGCCTACATTGCATTGCGGATGTCCTTCATCACATTTAACTGCATAGGAATGTTAGCAAAATCTCGCCACAATTCTTGAGTAATAAAAGTGCAATTTACCCTTGCGACTCTGTAATGAGTTTCAAAATTCCCCGTTAATAATCAATTCTGGTTTGTTTTGTTTTTCGAATCCCGAAGATTCTAGAGATCAATGGCAATGACTTACGCGACATGTCCTAGATATTGGGTTAGTTGGGGGATTCTTTTTTAAAACGCACGATTTAGAATATATTAAAACTGTAGAGAGAAAACATACCAGCAACCTGTCCTTGATCGCGGGGGTAAACGAATGCGCGGGGGTGCAACTAGACCCTTCTCTGGTTTGCCGACTACCTCTTCCTTGGGGGCAATGATGGGGAGTCGTAGAGGTCGTTTATTGGAGGCAAGGCCTCGACGGTTTTGCATCACTAGGCTGGTGACCGTCATAAGGCTGACTGTGTGCCCTGTGAAACCATATCAGTAAGGTTATGTACAAGCAGACGGGATTGTAACACCTACGTGTGTGGAGAGTAGGTAGAGAGAATGAGGCTCGGGGTTGAGCAAGGCAAATCACCAATTGCGGGGAAGGATGGGATAGCTAGATCAATTGAGATAAAAAAAGAGGGTTTCGTATTTAAATCCCACAGTAGAAAGGGTGAAGTGGTGAGGTAGAATAGATGTCAAGTAGGTATAGAATAGATATAGATATATTAAAAAAAAGGTGTGGTGGGGAAGGAAATTATTCAAGAACCCGGGGGGAGGGAAGAAGGGTTATGTATGTTATGTAGGTCTTCACATCACGAGCAGAAAAAGGGTAGACCTGCAGGAAGAACCAGTGGGTTGGTGCATCACGGACACATTGGATGGCGCAGTCCTGTTCCTATCTGGCTTGACGGGTGGCGGGAACCTGTGGAATCTGAACAAGTACCGAGAAAGGGAAAGGGAGGGGGAAGAAGCAGAGGGAAGAAACGGAGAGAGAGAAGGGAATGGAAGGGGAGAATCTGGAATTAGGAATTAGGAGGGAACTAAGACATAGTAGAGAGCGAGAGAGGAGAAAAATAAATAAAAAATAAAATAAAATATTAAAATACTAAATAAATCACGATAATAAAAAACCACTCAGAAAACAAGGCCAAACACGATCCGGTTCGTCCGAAGAAAAGGGAAAGGGGAAAAAAGGGTTAAGCGTTGAAAAATGGTATGCAGGTGCCAACCATGTGGGAAGGAGGGTAAGAGAGGAAGAGTAGAGGATAATGGAGATAAAAATAATAATCATACTCATGCATCGATATAAAAATAACCAAGGAAAAGGCTAAATCGCAGGATCTATTGGAAGTCTGGGTTTGGACTTTGCGAGTATCAGTGTATCAGTAAGTCAGGGCTGGCTGAGGAACACGTTGAGTATGTACGGAGTCAAGTCCATCCCAACCTTGGGAAGGTAGATACCCAATACGATGCGATACGATCGGATCCGAATGGAATGAATCATGTAAATGGGGGAGATGGAGCTTGGGAAGTAATGAAAAGAGTCATTTTCTACCTAGAGATTTTTTGTCTATAGATTACATAGATTACATAGATTACCAACATTACCCTGAATTACCGACCAACTTCACCAAATCGGCCCCTCGTATGGACAACGGGCCTAGGCCAGGTCTAGATGGCCCCAGTGCTAACAAGTCATGAATGAATGCCCGTATTCGATCTAGTTCATTCCTACCAATCACCAGCCCAGGGTGGCGTGTGGAATATGAGCAAATTGACTTCTTTGGATATTAATTTGAATTTTACTTCTGATTATACGGATGAATGGAATTGTTAATATAAAGAAAGAGAGATGTACATAGGGATAAAAGCACAAGCATAAGGTGTAGAGAAATCTGTACCCAACTGATTAGATCAGATATAGATCCCCAGGCTGATAATGATAAGCACCTCAGATGATCAACAGACCCATGGAGAAAAGAAATCAAAAGATCGGCGGTTCTAAGATTTTCCCAACGTTCGGGTATTCCCTTGGTTTCCAAGCATCTGGTAATCCCCGGGTTGAGGCTTTCCTGGCTTGACTTCTTTTTCTTTTTTCCCCATCGAACTTTGCCACGGACATGCCCGAAGGTTAAGCGAGTGGCGCATTCACTAGTGAAAATCCGCTGCAGAAAACATGATTCGCACCCATTAACTCTTTTCTACCCTGGTCCCCGCAACTCGCTCGGAGTAAAGATCGAATCCACTCTAGTTCGTAATGCTCTACATCCTCTCCCTCCAATCCTGACACTTGCGTGATAGGTGTGGAGTTGGGACAGGGAAAACTTGGCCCCAAAAATTAAGCAAAATAAAATATAATAATTCATAAATTCCCACCCAGCTGGAACTTGTCTGTATCAAGATTCCAAATTCCAAATCTACAGCTTCGCATTCCCCCAAAGCATAATTAATAACCTAATAAATAATACATAAAATAATAAAATAAAATAAACATTTGATCCACGGTTGATCCTCCACGTGGTTGAGTGGTTCTGGGAGGCAAATCACTGAAGCGAAGTACATACATACTAGTCGAAGTCTATACCTAGTGCATCTATTAATCTGGAGGACAAGGAGAGAGGGGGGAACTATCTAGGTCAGGCGCATTAGGGCCTCATCAAGGATGCGCTGGACAGTGTCCGATCGTTCATTAGTCCTCCACCCTTTCACCATCTCTCCCAATGACTCTGGCACTCCACGTACGACAGGTCGTAGTTTCAGGTAGCCCAAGACGGCTTCTGCACGGCCCTTGCGGACCATCTCAACCGCGTTCCGGTCCTGGAGCAAAAGACTTGCCAACTCGCTCATCGGACTCGCTAGAACATGTTCACCGGGCGCTGTCCACCGATCCACTCGGATAAAGAACGCTTGGAGCTCCTGGTAGACCGTGCTAACGACCTGTCTGCCTCCGTGGGTCAGGGCCTGGTCCAACGGACCGATCACTTGGTGGATGTATCCTCCCAGCACTGTGGTTAGGCTTAGCTGGGCCGACGCTAGGGGGTTCCCGCAGGGCAACTGACCTTCGCCCGAACCGGCCGTGGCGGGGTTCAGACATTGCAGGAGGCATTGCACACTTGCCGCAAGGGTGTCGTCCTTGGAGTCTGGCCCATTCCCGGAATCTATATCCATCCCATCCTGGAATTCTTCAATCACCCCCGGCACTATCTCTAGCGCTGCAGGCATCAAATCGATATTGCGAGCCTGCGAAATCTCACCTAGGGCTCGTAATCCGTGCGGCCGATACCCGGCATTTGTTCGCTTCGCTTCACGGATGGTAATGGTCTGACCCCCATTATCGTTAGCTTTCTTTTTTATCCTTTTTTCGCTTTTGACGTGTTTGACGTTTTTCCTCGTTTTTTCTCAGATCATGTTCAAAGAAGACTAGTTCTTACCTTCATCAGCTCACTTTGCTCCGGCGACTCCGTCCACAATTTCTTCCCTTGTCCGGCAAATTTCACCAAAGCCTTCAACACCACTTCTTTCCCTTCCCATGTTTTCCCCGCCAGTGCCTTGACTAACACTGGCCATACGAGCTGTGCAGTGGGGAGATCCAACTCCACTTCAAGTGCAAGCACTGCCTGGGCAATGGCACGTGCCGCCGTATGCTTGATGGCCCACCGCGCCGAGTCTAGATTGTCGGATACGAGGCTGACGATCTCCCGAATGTACAAAGATACCGCTCGAGAACCCCCCACATTATCCTGCCACGTCTTTTCAAACTCTGCTTTCACATGATCATCTGCGTCATGCTTGCACACGAACACAAACGGCAGAGCAGCCGTGGCGAACGCCATGAACCGGTCATTGGAGAGTTTCGACGAAGAATACAGGATTTCGGCCGCCACCGCCCGCGTGGGAGCATCCTCTGCTTCAAGATAGAGACTCTTAGCGTAATCAATGGTCTTCAAGACCCGCTCATCGGATGCAAGTCGCATGAGATACCCCAGAGAGGTACAGTAAGATGCGCTAACAGTTTCATTGCGGTCCACCACGTATTTGCAGAGAACTTGAATAAATCGATCTGCATAAGGTCGGAAGAGGAGACTCTTCATACTCAGTAGAACCAAAACTCGACTGCAACCCACCTTAGATGGGAGTCCCACCGCGGACCGAAGAACTTCTTCAAGTTTAGGAGCCAGTTCTTGCAGATTAGTTTCATCGAGATGATCAATTAAATAGCGTTCAATAACTTCCATCATAGGAGACGTGCGAATACTCGATAAACGCATCTTATCAATCTCCTGGCCTGTAAGCCCGTATTTGTCGGCATTCAGATGAACGTAGTTGACCGCTTGCGGCTCAAGAGAGCTGAGGGAGCTCAAGAACTGCTCAAGAATATTGGGGACGAATGGATGAAGCAGCGTGCCTGAACTCTTTTTGATGATCTGCACGAGAGCACCGATCGCATATCCTCGCACATCCTCCACACTAGAGTCAAGACCTTTATCACTTAGGAGGAAGGGAACAGCACTAGTGAGTAGGGCACCTGCACGTTTCTCTGTGCCACTTGTCTCGAGTGTACGAATGACGGAGTTGGTGATAGTTTGACAGAGCTTGAGAGCTGCCGTTCGTACAGATTCCTTGATGTCATCCAGTAGTCTGAATGATTTGCTGTAGATATCATCCAGGTATTCAGCATATTTCTCAGGGCGACGACCTTGAATGAGATCTGCGATAGCGGCACAGCTTGCTTGTCGAACGCGCCATTCACGCCCCTGAAGAACGCTCTTCAGAAGGTCCTCCATGATTGCATTGAAATGAGTGTCGATCACGACTGTGGGGTCCTTGACAAGAGATTGCCAAATAGTGTTCATTGACCGTTGTACATTGGGGTTGGGGTCAAAGCGGTATCGGAAAAGCTTAGGGTAAATCTTGGGGTTCTGTGAAAGGTACCCATTGACACTGGAATCCGAAAAGATGCTGCTAATACCGAAGCGACCAAATGCGGCGCGGTTGGTCCAAAGTGCATTGTTAGAAGCCATCGACATAAATCGGTAGACAAGGGTGGGATCGCCGGCCTCGGCAGCCAAATTCATAATGTCTTTGTATGTGTTGACAGATGAGCCTTCGCCTGTCGGCAGAGCCCCAGGTTCAAACAACTGGGTGTCAGCAGTAACATTGCCACCTCTTAGATTAGGTCCGGTAGCTGTAAACGATTCCACGAGATCACGGACCAGATCATCTCTTAAGGACTGATCACCAATCTCGTAGACCAAACTGAGACCGTGAGCTCCCGTCTCTTGTACCACCTCTTCTCGGTTTCCAAGGAGGCTCGTAAATGTGGCTTGACACTTGCGCAGGCGCTCCTGCATCTCTGACAGGTGCCCGCAATTTTTGACGAGCGATAAGAGCCAGATGGCGGAAGCCTTCCGGAGAGAGGGCTTGGGCGCCACACAGTCGGCGATAATCTTGTCACATATACTGACAAAAACTGTTCGTGGCACGTCTGATTTGGAGAGAACAGCGTCCACGTCAAATTCTTGCATCAGTGCTTGGGAATCCCATCCAATTGCAACGTTACTTAGTGCTTCACCCACGGTGAACTGGACCTCGGGACTCTTGATTTCATGCAAGCTATACAAAGAATCTAAGAAGTCGTTATAAGGAGAGGCGTCCGGTTGCGACCGTGCAAAGGTTAATGTAACCAGACCCAGCGACGCGATTGAGATATCATTTTCTGACTTGGCATCGGTGGACAGCTTTCTCTGAACTTGCTTCCAACCATCCTCTTGCAATGTCTGCAATGACAAAATACCCGACAAACTGAGTTGCCCAAGGGATGCCTCAGCAGTTCTTTGAAGAAGAGAATCACGAGAGACATCGACTATATCTAGGATAGTATCAATGAATGGTTTGATCTGATCTTCGGGGATTTTGCTTAGAAGGCCACGATATGCAAGTCTGCTGAGGAGGTAGGATAGCGACATGACTGCTCCCCGTACTTTAAGTGCAGCTTCGCCGACAGATGTGCTCCATGGCTTAATCATATCCGTAAGCTGCGTGAGAAAGGTGCAGAGCTCATTTTCAGGGAGGGAAGGGTGTGATGCGAGAATTCCAAAGGCTCTAGCTGCTAGTCCCTGGATATCTTGGTTGTTGCTGAACATGGACGTTGTTAAAGACTGAGCTTTAGAGACCAGCTGTCCAACCACATCATTTGGTGTCAAAGAGCAAATCTCAACAAAATGAACTCCGCACTGCCGAAGGTCTGCCAAATCTCCATGAGCCAACCCGTCAAGAATCGCAGACAAGAAAGTCAAAACAGACCCCTGCGCAGTACTGCGGATGTACTGCCTTACGGCAGTTCGAGCCTCTTCGTTGGTGGAAAGTTGCACTTCGAGTTTATAATCCCAATCCTCATCCAAATCGACAGTTATCTTGGATGCCGAAAAGGCCTCCCAAAGTAAAGTGTTGCGGAGAAAGGAGACAGCAGGCGCGAATGCATTCTTATTGGACCCCGATAGTAAGCGACGAGTGGAAGAATTAGGCTCCTCTGGCGACATTAAGAACTCGGTAGCTTCAGAAAAGGTCGGAAAATTAAACCAGGTTTCGTCTCGCTTTTGAAAAGCGGCCGGGGCAGTCCATTTTTCGTCCTTTGCTGGATTAAGAAGTCGGAACCAATACGGATGTAATCCCTTCTTGCCTTCTTCTACTACTTCTTGTTGCCTTCCAGGATTCCTTGCAATAGCCATGAGATCAATCCAACGAGCAACCACATTGTTAAATGGTAGAAAACGGTTGGCAAAACGCACAGTGGCGTATTGAACATCTCGGACAACGTTGTAGCCATTCTCCGGGTGAACCTCTCCCGACTGTAGGCCGATTTGTTGAACCAGAAACGGGCGTAATTGATGCTGGAAGTCCTGATCATGGCTGTTCAGTGAAGAATTGAGAATACTTCCTAATGCCTGATCAATGCTAACAAAGATTTCCGGGCTCGAGTCATCGCAGCTCAGGGATGTGAAGAGCCAACGGACTAGATCGAATTCGAAGTTTTCGACGTCTTCATTTTTAATTTGAAAGTCAACCTTGGGAACCAAGATACCAATACTTTCGTAGGCAAGGCCTCTCAGGCTCATATCTGTTGCGGGTAGTCTCAGCCCACTGGCAGCTGGACTTGGCCAGGTCTGAGATTGGATGAAGTCTCTCAAGCCAGCAATGAGTTTAGGGGCAATCTGTTTAAGATCCTCTGGAGAGCCCATACGGACAACCCATGTGGTGAATGTGAATATTTGAGTTCTTAATTTGGACGCTTGTAGTCCCTGTGCAGATCTTGCGGTGTCTGAGAGAAGACCATCTTCGATGAGCTTATATATTCTCTGGGTATTTTCAGTGGCCTTGATGGATTTCCCTAAAAAGACCAAAATCTTGACTTGGAGTGGAGGGCGAGCAGGAAGAGCACCATCAGGCGTGCCGGCCCCGAAATACAGATCATACAGCGATTGAACCGTAGACGGATCTTCCAAATCGACTGTAAATCGCTTCAGTGTCTCGTCGCCTAGATCAGCAAGTCGGGCGTTCGCATCCACAGAAGCAATCAATGAAGGCAGGAATCGCTGGGAATCAGCAAATGCGCCACTGCCGAGAAACCGGAGAGCGATGACTTTGGTCTCGGTCAAATTTAACCCTCCAGAAGTAGCAGGGTTCCATGTTTCGCTAACAGGCGCTCCTTTGTTCAAGAAGGTATATTCATCTGGGGACAGGCCATGGCATGTTTGAGCTCCTGAAGTAGCAGGGGCAAGAATGAGTAGCTTCCCTAACCAGTGAGACAGGAACTGGGAATCTTCGTCTGAAAGACCCAGGCGTTGCTTCAACTTCTGATCTTCGTCACTGCCCTTAGATGGTATTTTGAGAAGAGGCAATAGCCGCAAAACAAGGTTGAACACAATAGCTCCTTGAGTAACTGATGTTCCAATTTGTGCAATACCCTGAAGAAGGGGGACTAGGATTTCGACTCTGGCATCTGAACCAAGGCGGTCGATGCCTTGTTGAGCATAAACCAAGTCGTAATAACGCACCAGTTGAGACTTTTGTTCCTTGAATTGCTTTAAGAGTGCTGCGACCGGCAATTGAATTGTGGGGGCTTTAACCCGAGCACTGACATGCTGGCAAATGGAGATGACCTTATTGCGAACTGCTACGCTTTCGGATGACAGTTTCAAAAGTAGAGGACTCAAATAAGTTTGGAGTAGTGACTGAAGCTTCTCATCGCTGTCTGCCATAGCAATGCGAAATTCCACTTTGCCTATTAGACTCAACTCGCGAGCCTCTGGGCTCTGTGAGTCCGCCATGGTGGGAGAAGTGATTTGATTATTTGCAGAGAAACCAGCATTCACCTGGGGTAAGCAACGACCTAGATAGGTCAGACACACTGACACAGTAACAGTTTTGAATATGTAAGGATTTCTCCAGAACTTTCCACAGGCAACTAATACACACGTCACCGTCCTTGCTTGCTCTCTTATCCCCGGTGGATATACGCAGCGGGTGAGTGCCTGGATTAGTCAGGCTCATGACCAATGTGTTCATGCCTGGTTTATAAGGTATATAGGTAACTAACGTAATCCACTACCGAGCCGCCAGAACCACCGAGCCGCCAGGCAATCCATACCTAATAGATTTAAACGTAATTATATCAACTAAAATATTAATTCATTGATATTATAACCTATATAGCTCTATTTGGATATGCGTTTCTTTTATGTCCCTTATTCCCACATAATCTATACTTTGGTAAGGCTCTCGTACGTGGTTGCAAAGGTAGTTGTGGCCTCTGGGCCTGTCTTATTTCTTGTACTACTGGGGGTATAGCCAATGGATTAATAAAGTCTTGAAGCTCTGTAACTGATAGGCTTGTTTTATGTGGTATCTACTACTTAGATCTAGTCCTTTTTTGCTTCTTCTTCTCTATTCTAGCGCGTAAATCGCTTATTTCTTTTTCGAGAAAAGCATTTGATTGTATATTGATTTGGTAAGCTTTTAAAATCTGGTTAAGTATAGAATTTAGCGGACTTAGTGGACTTTGTGAGTGTTGTTTTAGTAGTACTTTAATCGAAGATGCTTGCTTTTGTAATTGGATATAGTTCGAAGGTATTTTTGGTTTTTACTTACTACTCTAGTTTGAGGGGGGAGTAGGTGTTCGAAGTTGAATATTAAGTTTTAAAATAACTTAATCAGGGTTAAATAGGACTAAACTAGCTGCTATGAAGCTATTTTTAATTGTCTCTAATTTAAATACTTTGTCTTGGGTAGAAGAGTAAACTTTAAGGAAATTAAATTTATTGATATAATTGATCCTAATCTGTATTTGATTCTTAATAAGTCGATTGTATAAATGTTTTAAAACTATAAAATATCTAATATTAAGAGGCTGTAAAAGGTGCGAGGAATATACTAGTATATAAATTAGAATTATATTATTTTTACTATAAAGTTTATTAAACTTTGGAGTTAAATAATTTTTGTAACTATTAAGGATTAAAAGTTAATATTTCCCCTTTATATTGTAATAGTTACTAAGTTGTCAGGCTAGAGACCTGTGACTAAGCAAGGATATCAGATAGTAAAGATCAAATAGAATAGTTAATATCTAGAACTAATTCTTATAGGATAAGAATTGTAGCTATTGTTTATATATTTTAATATTGCTAGAGCTTACTAGGGCTTAGGGTAGTTATATATTAACGGGTGTATTATAGTAGATTCACCCACGGAGTAGCTATAAATTATACCTGAATCGTACTTGAAGGGATTTAAGAATCCTATAATAATTTATTCTTCTCTTTTAATAATAGTTGACTTGACTATCTATATAACTTGTATTTAATTAGGTAATTTATATCTAGTAGTATTATATTAAATAAAGATTCTAGGACTAATACTATCTTAGGTGTCTTTATATATAGATATAAATAAAATAATATAGGTTCTTTAAATCTTTAAGATAAGAGCTTCTCTCTTATCTTTTTAACTCTTATCTTTTTCCTTTTCTTAGCTTTTAATTCTTAACTCTTTATCTTCTTACTCTTTGTTTTTATCTTATTTTGTTTTACTATATCTGAGGCTATTGCTTCTAGTATTTTTAATGATCCTTCTTATTATAGTGATTATTGTATAACTAAAGGTAAAGATTAGGCTAGAGGTAGAGATAATAATAATAGTGATAGAGGTAATAGGGTTAATAAAAGTAATAGGAGTATTACTAGTACTTCTACTGGCTTATACTCTTTTTATAATTAAATTACTTATTCTTTCTTTATATTTTATATCGGATATATTGCTGAAATAGCTCTTTACCCTCTTAAAGATACTATTCCTAAGATCTATTATAACTAGGATTATATAAACTTAATTATTTATATTTTATATAAAGAATATAGTAAGAATTACTTTTAGATAAGGTTCTTCTCTAAGTTATATTTAATTTAATATTAATTTATCTTAGATATCTTATAGAATTTATAATAATTTATATTAGTTTTAGTTAATTCTTAATTAGATATATAAAGTTTAAAGTAATAATACTACTATAGTAGTTATTAGTAGTACTATACTTATCTAGAGTAAGGAAAGTAAGGTTATAGCTATAAGGGGATCTATTTATTTTTTAGTATCTTTTTAAAAGATAATCTCTATTTATCTTTCTGGTTATAAGCTCTATTTTAATTTATAGAATATAGATTAAGCTATAGGAATATATACTATATTTATTACTAAACAATAAAAGAAGTTAAATATTAAGGTTAGTTTATCTTCTACTTAATCTCTTTACTATCTTAATAATCTTTTATATCTATAGATTAGTAATACTAGTTTCGCTTTTTAATAGAGTAGTATTTAATCTTTCTTTATAGAGGTTGTAGTAGGATATTAGTATAATATAACTCTAATTAGGGTTACTTTAACTCTAACTATAATAGTAATAATTACTAATATTAAGATACTTATAGCTTAATATAGAATTCTATAGTAATTTATTATTTTTACCTTACTTATCCTTCCCTTTTTTAACTAAATAGCCTTGTCCGATATAGTTTTTCTTTATCTAGTATTAATTTAATACTAATTCGGGGGGGTTTCAGGAGGTTTTTAGTATTGTTAGGATACTATTTTATAAACTTAGTTTTTCTTAAATAAAGCTATTATATCTCTTATATTTTCTAAGTATTCTACTGGTTCCTATTAGTTATATTCTAAGAGCTATTCTATCTATTTTATATAGTAATATAGTACTCTATTAAAAACTTTTTTATCTTAAATCTCTTTAACTTCCTATTCTTCTTTATCTTTAAGTTCTAGTATTAGTATTTATAAGTTATTATTATTTCAGCTATTCTATAGTTTAAGAAGAGAGATAGAGAAGATATTATATAATCTTAAGTATTTTTCTAATAATATAATATAATAGGCCTAGATATTAATTTTTATAAGAATATAGAAGGGCTTAATTTAATAAGGGAATAGTTTCTTTTCTTTAGTTTTAAAGTAGAGATTCTTTATCGAAAGGGATATAAGGGTTCCTACTTTAAAGTCCTTTAGCTTATAATTTTTGTTATAGGATCTCTATTATATTTCTTATATAATTTGAAGCTTATTTATGGCCTCTTTATAGATATTCTAGAGGTAATTTATTTGTTCTTTAGTATTAAAGGCCTTTTTCTTAAATATTTTATTAAGAGTTTAGATTTAGAAATTAGGGTTATATCTAAGTAATATATAAAAAAGAATCTTATTAATTAATATATTAATAGTATTATTATATATAAATTATACTATCTTAAAGAGTTAAGCCTAGTTTAATTATTCCCTATTAATAAAATATCTAAGATAATCTTTTAAAACCTAGTTAAGTCTTTTTATTTATTTATCGATTTAGGAATAGAATATAGTAGAGAACTATAGTTTAATCTTAGAATAGTAATAGAGTTATAACTAGAACCTACTTATAAAAATAGACCTTTAATTAGAGATAATCTTTTTTAGGTTTCTATATTTAAGTTTAATTTAATCGAAGAAAAGTTTAATAAGATCTTCTATAGATATTATTATTAATATAGAGAGGAATTAAAAGAATTTTATAAGTTAATAGATAATTATTAGGATTATATTATACTTCCTTCTTTTAAAGATTATAATTAAAAGTCCTATAATAAAGTCTATACTTAGCTTTATAAATAGTCTATAAGGAATAAGAAAAGGTTAGAGTTCTTTATAAGAATAATATCTAAGTACTTTAACTTCTTAATAAATTAGATATATTTTAATATATTCTTATATATCCTTTAATAAATATTCCTAATAGAATTTCTTTTTTAGAAGTTCTTCTATATATATTCTTTTAAAATATTCTATAAGTTATTTATTATAATAGAGCTTAATTAGTTTTTATCTTAGGTTCTTAGTAATAGGGATATAGAGATATCCTTTATAATATAAAAGTTTCTTAGAGTCGATACTCTAATACTTTCTTTATAGAACGTTTTCCTAAGTTATATTAATTCTCTCCTAGACTATCTTATTCTTATCTTAGAGTTCTTTAATTAATAATTTTAGTTCTCTTAAGGATTTATCTATAAATAGATCTTTATTTATAATTATAGTAACTACTATTTAAAAGAATATAAATTAAGAGTGACTTAAAACCTTATAATATATTATATTATAGCCCTAACTTAGGAAAAACTTAGTTATATTATAGCTTTAACTTAGGAAAACTTCTTTATTATTCCCTAGATCTAAATAATTAGCTTTATTAGACTTATCTATAGTCTCCTCTAGATCCTTCTAATCTATAGGAGTAGTAGTATTATTTTAAACCTAGTTTAGCTCTAATTTTAGGTTATTAGCTAAGCTACTTATAGTTAGAAAGAGAGATAGTAATAGACTTCTATAAGCTAATATAATTATAATTATTAATTCCTACTTCTCTCTACTTTCCTCTCTAAATAGTATTGTACTAATAGTAAACTACTATACTTTTATAAACAATTTAGCTATAATTCTCTTATAAATTAGCCCTAATATCTCCTCTATAGATAAAGACTTCTCTTCTCTTAGAGTATAGGATAACCTATCTATAGGATTAGTCTTTTTTAAGTAGTAATATATTATAAAGTTAAATAAAGTAAAGGAAAAGTACTAATATACTTATCTTCTATTAATCTTAGATTAATCTATAAATAGCTTTAGGTTATAGTAATCTATTAGAACCTTAACTTAATAATAGCTTCCTTTAAGATATTAACACCAATATTTAAATAAGTAAATAATTATAAATAGCTCTTAATCCAAT